AGTGGGACCAGTGCAGTATGTGTATCAGCTGCTTTCAGTTTGTCTTTTAGGTTTTGCCTTTTCATTTTAATTCTCTGTCACGGTGGTGGAGACCAAAAACGGAGCTAAAAGGAGTGATTACCAGGCTAGACTCCAAATGTATGCTAACATCTTCCAAGTTGAATGTATTAGCAGGATGCTGCACAGGACAAAAAGAACAAAAATAACAGACTAACAGAAAACATCCAGCGAGCGACTCGTGTCTGAATATTTGAACCGATTTGCTCTTTGACCCGGAGTTCTTATTAAAAGGGACGATCAGGTTGACGTGCACCTGTTCATATGATTACAGGATGTGAGAACCTTGCTTTGGTAACGCCTGCTAGTGTTCCCGTTTAGCGTCTGGCCACGATATACTCCTTCCTGTTTGGTTAATGATGACCTGAACTGGTTCACAGACCTGTTCCTGGGATTTAGTTCTACAAATAAACCAAGTAATACGTGTTTAAAACCTCCTTGTGAAACTGTAATACACAAGCATCACGGACCAGTTGCTTTTTGAGGAGTACGACTGTAGTTTTTGGGAGGGACGGCGCTGGTCGAGCCTCCATCAAGCAGTTGCCCGGCTTTTTTTTCCATTTACTTTTTGACACTCCTGGGCGAGGCACTGCTGTCCAGCTACCATTTCAAGTAGACACACCTGAGCCATCTCTACTTGTAAAATCACCACCACCATCAGCAGCAGCAGCGCATCACTCCCTGTGGAGCGACAGGACAGGGGGACGATTCCCGGATCCATCTGTCCCTCCTGCACTGATGTTGAAAGTTCTTATTTGGGTTTAAAAAGTGTCCAGATGTTGCTCCTCTTCTCCTTTTTTTTTAAATAGCTGTAAGAAATATAAAAGAATATGTAAACAGCTCTGAAAAATTAAGACACGCGTGCAGCCGATGCAAACACACTTTACCTGGTTTTCTATCGTTTCCCCTGGTCCACGCTGTCTGTCTGCTCCTGGTAGAGAGAAAAATACACAGACTAATTAACACATTGAACAAATAAAATAATAAAAAATTATAAAATCCATCCAAGAAAGATAAAAGTCAACATGAAAGCTGACAGAAAATGAAACAAACACAAAGACCTTTATCAGCAGGAAAAACTGTAGAATTTATGAAAATGCAGTTAAATGTTACAAATTTATACCCTCTTTCACATTTCCAAAGCTGTCCGCTGGGACAGAATGGAGTCTTTCCTGGGCCAATCCTGGCCCCGGGCCCTTATGTGTGACACCTTCTAGTTTAGTGCTTTGTGAAGTAGCCCTCATGTCTCGTTCATCAGCATGTGCAGCCAGTTTTAAAGAATGATCGTACTCAAAGACTTCAAAACAAAAAAGTGTTGAGGACTGTGCACTCAGTGTGTGGCGAGTTCACCGATCCACTAATGCAGAAGGAGAAAACCTCTCTCCTTTTCATCTCTGGCGTTGCCTCTGCAACTGATATTGATATTTCTGCACTTTTGTGTCTCTGGCAACATTTCTCAGAGAGTGCACTGTCTGTATATGGCTGTAAATATACAGAACATATACGTAGCTTTCTTTTTTAAACAGCAACTTGAGCCAACTGCCCCCCGTCAGAGCTGGTTACCCGTCCAGTTCTCATGGTCTGCTGCCAACCTCAATGCTACTGGAGTAGAGAACAACTCGTCAGGTTGCTGTTCATGTTTAGGCACATCGCTTTGAAGCCGATCGTCGGTCACTAGCAGACATTCCAGTCTCTGGTTGCCTAGGTAACCCTGTAAAGTATTTACCACCCATGTTATATGTCACTCGGCGGTATCTTCCACTCTCACTGGTTTTGCAAACGAGCAAAAAAACAAAAACACAGCCATGTAAAACAGAGTCGCGTGACGATTAGGAAAAGCTGTTTACAGCTAGCATCCATCAAGAAGAAATGCTCACATGTGTGATTGAACATTAAATGTGATGATCAAGGATTCACCTTGATGGCTAATTCCACAGCAGGAGCACCACCCACCCGATTTCTCTAAAGACCTTTGCAGTTTGCTGCAAAGCGCCTGAAAGCACCTTTTTTTGTTGTTCCATGTTTGTTTTTGTTTGAAGAATATGAAAACACGTTATCTGCGAGGAAATTTCTGTTGTTTAACGGCAGCAACAGGACGACGCAGCTTCCTGTTCCTGTAAACACTAAATTAGACATCGAAAAGAGACGAGTGGATGCTGCTCACGATCACCTGGAGCACAGCATTTCATAAACCAGACTTCCTGTGATGTAAACAGAAGACAGCAGGCCGGAGGCTGGTCTTCTTTTTTTCTCCAGCTCTGCATGATGAATTTTTTAAAGACTCGTTTATTCGTTTTTTCTTACAGCCACTGCAATAAACAGCATCAGTGAACAGAAACTAAAAACTACTGTCCATGAATGCAGCTTTTACTCCATCTCATTTATTCTTATTGAAAATACTAGAAGTAATATTTCTCTAGTGCCATGTGTTTATATTTATTCACTAGAAGTCTCCATCTGGACCTGAGTGTTTGCAGACTTCTACTGTAAGTGTTGCAGGCATTTTACTGACTTGTTACCTAAAAGCACAAAGTTTAGAGCCGAAATGACAGGTCGCGTGTAGTTCAGTACCTTCAGGCATTTTCTAAAGCTTTCCACAAGGGTTAGGAGTGTTTATGGGAATTTTTTACTGTTCTTCCAGAAGCACATTTGTGAGGTCAGACACTGATGTTGGATAAGAAGGCCTGTCTCACTGTCTCTACTCTAATTCACCCCAAAGGTGTTGGATCAGGA